GTGTCATTTCAAATTAAAGATTATAACTTCTAAGTTTTTTTAAAAAAGATTTGTTTAATTTATATTTTAAGAACATATGTTAAAAGTGTATTAAATATATATTTTTATAATTAATTTATATAAAAAATAATAAAAATTAACTTTTATTTTAGTGTTAATGTCACATGAATAATTTTAATTAGTTAATTAATTGAATTCAAATTAATTTTTATCAATTTTTATATAAATTAATTATAAAAAATACTTTTATTACACCCTTAACTTATACACTAAAGACAAAGGGTAAAAAAATCTTTTTTAAATTAATAGCAAAAGCAACTTAGAAAAGAGGAGGCAGCCTAACTTTTTCTTATGTGTTTTAGATAAAAACTTTTTTACCCAATAGCTAAATTCAAAATCTAACTATAGATAATAATGTTGTTTTATAGGTTAAGATCAAGTTTAACTTTTAAGATTTGTTTAGTTATCTCTCTTATTTAAAAGGTATTACTAAAAAAGTTATATATAAAAATGACTTGATTTTAGCTAAGGAAAATAAATTTTTAGATACAAAAATCAACAATAAAATATAATTAATTATATTCTTTTGTAATAAGTTATAATGCTTTAAAAACAAGATAATCAACTAAATAAAAAAAAGTAATTGATTATGTATCTCAAAATGAAACTTTTTGTAGTTTTCGAGCAGGAAAATTTTTTTCCTCTACCATAATACATTATATCTATTTATAATCGATTACTTTTCAAAATATCCAAAAATTTTTTGTATAATCAATTACATTTCACCTTAATTTTTGTGACTAGAAAGTTTCATTTCTTGATTCAAGCCAGTAGAAAAAGTGATGGTTTTTCCAAAAATGTCTTCCATGTAAAGAGCTAACCAAACATACCCTTACAGTCAACAATGGACTCACCTTTCTGAATGCATCTGTGTGTTTTTAAAATGGTACAGGCATATGTAATAACCATCTTTTGATCGATACCTAAATAAATGGACTGGTAACAAGGTTGGTGGAGTAGGAATTTTCTTAAATGGGGCATAAGTTGCTTTACAGCCTTCACGAGTTTTAATAAGGGTTTGCCTAACTTATGTTTTTAAAATACATGTTAAACTTCATTAATTATAATATTTATAATTAATTTTATATAAATTTTTATATTAAATTCATACATTTTTGTAAACTTTGAGTATAACTATTATTTTTTATTTTAATTTTATATTTTATACTTTATTTTAATTAAATATGATATAAAAATTTATATAAAATTAATTACAGATACTACATTTAATAAAATTTAACATGTGCTTATGTCTTAAGGACACAAATTAAAAAATTCCTTTTAATAATAGAAAGAGATAATATATAAATAAATATATATGGTCTAGGATCTACTTAAGATAACAGAAGGTTTATGTCTCTTAGACGTGATGTCTTAATAGTTAAAAACTTTAATTACCATGTTGAAAATATTGGTTAAAAACTTAAAATTTTAGAATGGCAAAGGGAATTAGAAAGGGAAAAGGTTACCCATGTTTCATAACATATATCAAATACTCAAAAAAAAAAAAAATCTTAGGTGGTATAGGGAGGGTAGAGTCAACTCTACCTTTTTCCTTGCTGATAGAAAAAATAAAGAAAAAAAATATAAAGATATATGAAAAAAGAATTTTTTTTTCTTAATTTTACTGAATATATAAAGTGCTTATTTATAGATTTATATAAGAGAATATTCTATGATACAAAACCAATTAACTTAATTATATCAATAAATTATAATATGAATCCAATCAACATAACTCAAGGTGGTGATGAGTAGACTAGCTTGAGTTTGGAAAGAAGAGTGCGGAAGCATCTAGGAAAGTAAGTTTTTGGTGAAAAGATCTGCATACTGAATATGCAGATCGGTGCAGTCAACGCCACTAGAGGAGAATGAGGCAATATCAGATATGGGTAACAGCAATGTCGAAAGTTCAATTGTGAGAAATCAAGACCAAAAATCAACGGCATGAAATCAAGAGCAAAAGTAGCTGACAGAAAATCAAGAGCAAAATCAACAGCAATTGAATGCGAAAAGGTTAGAGCAACACCAACTATGAAAGTAACACATATTGTCGGTGCAACAAAGGAACAGGATCAAGAAAACTCAATTACAAATAAGTCCAAGAAAGAAAGCAAAGATGATGATTGGCACTACCTACCAGCAAAGCAGCAACTCAAAAAAGAGATGAACAGTCATAGTAAAAAAAGTCTCAATGCTCTAATACCATGATAAAAAATATAAAGATATATGAACTGAATATACAAGATGCTTATTTATAGACCTATACAAGAAAACATTTTATGATACAAAATCAATTAACCTAATTATATCAATGAATTATAATATGAATCCAATTAACATAATTATAATATGAATATTTTATAATACTTTCCCTCTCTTCTCTTCTTTTGTCTCTCTAAATAGAAGTTTGATTTTGTGACAATTTTATAAATACTTTGATCTTAAAGGCATTTTAATGGGTAAAATTTTAAAATTGTGCAATGACAATTGATGTAATTTTTGTAAAATTTTTGTCTATTTTATAAATACATTTTACTTCATTTATATCTTTATCTATTTGTATGGAATTTTTTTCTATTTGAAGCTATTTTCATAATAGTTATTTTTATTTTAAAGAAAATAAATATTTTTTTAATTTGACTGAATATACAAGGTGCTTATTTATAGACCTATACAAGAAAACATTCTATGGTATAAAATTAATTAACCTAATTATATCAATTAATTATAATGTGAATCCAACCAACATAATTATAATATGAATTTTTATAACACTTTCCCTTTCTTCTCTTCTTTTGTCTCTCTAAATAGAAGTCTGATTTTGTGACAATTTTATAAACACTTTGATCTTAAAGGCATTTTAATGGGTAAAAATTTTAAATTGTGCAATGACAATTGATGTAATTTTTGTAAAATTTTTGTCTATATTATAAATACATTTTACTTCATTTATATCTTTATCTATTTGTATGGAATTTTTTTTCTATTTGAAGCTATTTTCATAATGGTTATTTTTTTTTATTTTATACATTTGTGTGAATTTTTTATAATTTAATTTTAAAATTAATTACATTTTAAATCTAATAAATTAAATTTAA